CTCTCTCTCTCTCTCTCTCTCTCTCTCTCTCTCTCTCTCTTTCCTTCCTTTTGTCTGTCCCTTTTTCCTTTTTTTCTTTCATCTCTCTCTAACTTTTTCTTTCTTTTTTCTTTATTTCTTTCTTCCTTTCTTTCTCTTTCTCTTTCTCTTTCTCTCTCTGTGTGAGTCTGTCTGTCTGTCTGTCTGTCTGTGTTTGTGTCAGTTGTGAGTTTCAAAAAAAATTCAAACCTACTCTGTGGGTGTGGCCTCCTTTGTGGGAGTGGCTTGCTGGCCATGTGACCTGGTGGGAGTGACTTGCCGGCCATGTGTTTTCTCTCTTTTTCTTTCTCTCTCTCTCTCTCTCTCTCTCTCTCTCTCTCTCTCCTTCCTTTTGTCTGTCCCTTTTTCCTTTTTTTCTTTCATCTCTCTCTAACTTTTTCTTTCTTTTTTCTTTATTTCTTTCTTCCTTTCTTTCTCTTTCTCTTTCTCTTTCTCTCTCTGTGTGTGTCTGTCTGTCTGTCTGTCTGTCTGTGTTTGTGTCAGTGGTGGGTTTCAAAAATTTTTGGAACTTCTTCTGTAGGTGTGGCCTGCTTTTGGGTGGAACCTCTTCTAACTGGTTCGGTAGATTTGACAAACCGGTTCTACCGAACTGGTACGAACTGGTAGGAACCCACCTCTGGAGCCAAACCCAGAAGGACATTTCTTCCAACAATTCGTTGGATGATCCATCCGTTTGTTTCCTTGGCTGTCCATGCTTTTTTCTCAGGAGTCTTCTTCAACACTAAAGTTCAGACATGCTCTTCCTCTTCTGCTTCTTCAAAATCCAATTTTTGCTCCCTAGTGTATCACAGGGAATAGTATGGCTTAAACAGTCCTGATCTTGGTAAGTATAGACGCATCACAGCCTCCAGGCCTGAGGAGCCCAGTGGTGAAATTCATTTTTTTTTAGTACAGGTTCTGTGGGCGTGGCTTGGTAGGTGTGGCAGGGGAAGGATACTGCAAAACCTAAGCAGTGGGGGGTGGACTAGAAGACCTCCAAGGTCCCTTCCAACTCTATTCTGGAACAAAAGTTTAATTATTTTAACTTTGAATGCCCACAGAAACATAACAGAGTCAGAAAGCAGCTGGTGGCATCTTTGTGATGTCACCTTTCCAGTTTTTAGAAGAGACTTTTAAAACAGTTCGAGAGGCACCTTTCACATTAGGAACAAGCTTAACTATTTGGGTATTTGTGGGGGGAAGGATGCCATCAACCTGTCACATGCAAGATCATTTTCCCTGGCAGATGGTGGAACACATTCTCAAGTTTCCTAGACTCTTGACCTTCAGAGTGGTCAGAAGGCAGCCTGGCCTTAAAAGCATTGAGGAATTGTAACAGGGTTTGTGGGAATACTATCCCGAAAATACACCGGTTCAGAATTGAAAAGAGATAACCACAACAACAGAAAAGGAAAGGAAGAGAACAGGAGAGGAGAGGAAAGGAAAGGGGAGAGAAGAAAGAAAGAGGAAAGGAGAAGAAGGAGGGAGGGAAGGGATAGACAGAGAAGGAGAGAGGGTAGGAGTGGGAAGAGGAAGAGAGGAGGAGAGAAGAGAGGAAAGGGGAGAGAAGAAAGAGGAAAGGAGAGGAAGGAGGGAAGGGATAGAAAGAGAAAGAGAGAGGGTAGGAGGGGGAAGAGGAAGAGAGGAGAAGAGAGGAAAGGGGAGAGAAGAAAGAGGAAAGGAGAGGAAGGGATAGAAAGAGGAGGAGGAGGAGGAAAACGGTGAGGTCCTTGGTGCCATCTGAACTTGGCTATTTTCTAGCACACGTTTCATTACCCAATTAGGTGACATCATCAGTGCTAGAAGGAAATGGGGTTGTGTGGAGTTGGGGAGGAGGAGGAAGATTGTGGGGTTCTATTTCTTGCAGACATTTCATTAACCAACTAGGTATCATCAGTGCTAAAAGGGAGTGAGGGTTATGGGGGAGGAGGATGACTATGGGCTCCTCCGTGCTTGTTTCCTTGCATACATTTCATTACCCAACTAGGTAACATCATCAGGACTACAGGGGATGGGCCAAGTTGGGGAAGAGGAAGAGGGTAGGAGGAGGAGGAAGATGATGATTGTTGGATCTTTGGTGCAGTCTAAGCTTGGCTGTTTTTATCCACACATTTCATTACCCAACTAGGTAACATCATCAGTGCTAGAAGGGAATATGGGTAATGATGGAGGAGGAGGAGGAGGAGGAGGAGGAGGAGGAGGATTGTGGGGTTCTTGGTGCATTCTATGCTTGTGTTTTCTTGCCCACATTTCATTACCCAACTAGGTAATATCATCAGTGCTAGGAGTAGGTTTTGCTCTCTGCTTATATATACCATATTTTTCAGAGTAGAAGTCGCACCAAGGTTTTGAAGAGACAAATTTTAAAAAAGTGTTTGCACTCTGCAAATCTCCCCAAAACGGCTTGTTTTTTGCAAAAACTGGCCTGTTTTTTCCCCCAAAAAGGGCATGGATAGCCTTTAGGCTTATAGAGTGCTCCTGGGGGCTGGGAGGGGGGGAATTTCTGCCCTCCCCAGCCCCCGGGAGCACTCTAAAAGCCTCCCACGAGCTCTGCACGGCCATTTTGGTGAAAGGGGGCGGGGTTTCGGGAGGCAAAAAAAAAATGCTGCATTCGGTGTATAAGACGAACCCAGATTTTCAGCCTCTTTTTTGAGGGAAAAGGGTGCGTCTTATACGCCGAAAAATATGGTAAGTGGCTTGCCCTGTCAGTGTGGATGTGAGTGTTCTTAGTGCTTCCTTTTTGTTGTTGTTAAGGGTGCTTAGGGGTATTGTGTGAATGCAACCCACCCTGAGAAAGGATTGGCCACAAAAAAGGACTAAACCTCTCTGTCCGGCACGCAGACATTACAGGCATATAAGAGGACGGCAAGAGGACGTCGGAGTGGGATGTTGTACCAGTTTTATTGGTAAAATTGAACACGGAGGCTCACGAACGCTGGGACATGCTTTTCCTTTTAAAGAACTTCCACTGGACCTTAATAGTGAGCATCCAGTCGTTGACGTACAAACTTTTACAAGCGGATGTGTAGACATGCGCCTCGGGGGGAAGATGACAGCATCCGGGTCGGGTCGATGGGTGCTGGGCGAGGCACGGGGTACCCACGATTCATTTGCCAGCCTTCTGGGCTTTCTGTGCGGACTTGGTGACTTTGCCAGCCCCGCCGCTCTTCTTCTCCACGTTCTTGATCACGCCCACCGCCACGGTCTGCCGCATGTCGCGTACGGCGAAGCGACCTGGAAAAAAACGGCAGCAGGAGTTAGAACAGCCCCCTCCGTTGTCATCCCCCACTCAAAAACAAGGCTGTGTCGTGCCTGGTGTGTGTGCATGTGTGTGGGGGTTTGTGCGTGTGGCGGTGGCCCACCAGTGGAGCTGGCAGCAGATTCGGACGGTGAGGAGGTTGGGGAGGAACCTGGGCCAGTCCTGGAGTCTGGGGAAGGATCGGACGAGGGCTCTGTGTCGGAGGCAGAGAGGGGGCCAGGGCCATCCGACAGTTATCAGCTGCCTTCAGAGTCGGAGATCAGTGGGGCAGAAGAACAGCTGGAGCCCTCCCATTTTTGCCCACACTTTGCAGGCCTCCCAAACCCTCTGCGTGTCCTTTTTTGTGAAAAACGGGATGCACAGGGGGGCATTTCAAGAGGCCAAAAATGCTGTATTCAGTGTATAAGACGCACCCAGATTTCGACCATCTTTTTTTGGGGGGAAGGGTGCGTCTTATACACTGAATACAGCATTTTTGGCCTCTTGAAATGCCCCCCTGTGCATCCCGTTTTTCACAAAAAAGGACACGCAGAGGGTTTGGGAGGCCTGCAAAGTGTGGGCAAAAATGGGAGGGCTCCAGCTGTTCTTCTGCCCCACTGATCTCCGACTTCGAAGGCAGCTGATAACTGTCGGATGGTCCTGGCCCCCTCTCTGCCTCCGACACAGAGACCACGTCCGAGCCTTCCCCAGACTCCAGGACTGGCCCAGGTTCCTCCCC